GCCGTCGTGGAGGAGAAAATCCCCGTCGTCGGCTACACGGCATGGTCGTTCCTGGGCAACTACGAGTGGGGCTCCTATGGCCCGCGCTTCGGACTCTACTATATCAACTTTACTAAAGAGACTGGCTCGCCAAACTTCGACAAGCCAAAATCGACAGATCTGGAGCGTATTCCTCGTCCAGCGGCTAAGTGGTTCCACAAGGTCGCCACCACCAAATGTCTGGACGGCTGGGATGAACTCGAGCTTTCTGCGGGCAGCTCCATTGCCCACCCGGCGGAACACCTCGGCTTCTCGGCTCCCGTTATTGTCATCGCGGCGATGGCTCTTATTGCTGCTGTGGTCACGTTCAAGCGCCGCCTCGGATACCAACGCTTACCTCAAGCCGTATCCAGCTAACGCGGACCTCGATACCTGCTTCTTCCAGTTCTTTATAGTAGCGCCGTTTGAAGCATTGCATTGGGTGTTGTGTCAGATGCGTACGTAGAGCAATGGAGGAACACGATAATTTCCGTGAACTGGAAGCCAGAATAATACGACGTTATAATAAGTCAAACTTGTTGTCGAGGTGTACAACAGCTCTGTTTTTATTACAGAAATCTGCCTGAATAAGGAACGCCTGATATAAATTAAGAAAGAGATTGCATAATTGCACACGCATCAAGCTCGGAGATTTAAGGCAGCGAGCGACACACGAATGAATAGATGTAAGTTACATTGTAAGTTACAATTTGTAACCAGATTTGGTGTACCACTACTAAATAGGGCACACTAGTAAATAGGGGTTACATGTATCACGGCTGGAAAGAATGTTTGACCGGCCAATCAAATCAAATCTTCGCGTCCCGTTTTTATCAGCTCAAGTTCATTTGGATTTTTTATATTTATCAAGGGTCCAAGGGCAACCACTAGATATCACCGAACTTTACGTTTCGGCACACCAACTGCGTGAAACCACAGCAAAATTAAAAATAAAACATAGCTTATCTGGTATACACAGCACATTGCAGATTCACACATAGGAATG